TTCATTCATTGTTGTACATTTTACTCCCCTCCCTCCCTTACCCCTCCCCCAGTTCACTTAAAAAAATCATTATTATGCAATTACCTCCCACCCCACCCTACCCCTTCCCCCAGTTCTCTTTGCAATGTACCTCTTTCTTATTCTGGGCTATTATTCTTATAATGCTTAATCATGTATTCCTTTTAAGCAGTTCTTTCCTTCATCTGTTCCAATGCAATGTGCATTATCTCTCCACTCTTGTCCTACTCTCCTCCCAACCCTCAATGTCACACTTCCTTTGTAACAGTTTAATTATGCAGTATTTGTCCTTTTGTCACTGAGACATTTAACTCACCATAATGTCCTCTACCTTTTCCTCCTTTTTAATATCATTCCTTTATGTTTTCATTTCTGTGACACTAGAAAACATAGCCTAACTCCTCACCCTGGAAAACAGGTTGGGGAGTTAGGCTTTTAACTGTAAGGTGGTTGCTTCTCCCTCAGTTTGAATCCCCCAACTTCTCCGTTTGAGAAATATGGTCAGTCTCCTCTTGTGCAAGTTACAGCCTCTGAAAACCCAAGGTAGTGTCCTCTATGAATTGGTTCCAGCTCTACAGCAATGTAAAAGAGATTTCAAATCACAGTATATTTCTGCTTTTTTTTTGGTGTCATATTATAAATTTAGTTAGAAAATATTTTCAGTGTTAGAGTTTCAGCATTTGGCATTTGGATCAATAACAAAATATTATCAGATAAAATATAATAGTCAACCAGGATCAACACATTTCCATAAATTGCTGTTATTTAAAGCCTTCCATGAATGTTACATTTGTTTATGTGCTTTTCTATCTGCATTTTTGCTTGTCTCAATGATTTACAACTGTTGCTGGTGCTGTTTAAGTCTATTGTGACAGTGATAAATAGATTCATTTGGCAAACTCAGCTGTTTTTATTAAAAGTGAATAGTGGTGAGTGGAAAAGGACTTGTAAACAATTTTCTTGTCAAAGAATGATGATGGAGAAATAAAGCAATTTTACTTCCTTGTTTTTGAACATCATTTCCACATATTTTAGACTATTCAGCTTATCTACACAGAGCCGCTTCTTTGCTTTCAAAGTTTAGTTACCAATATGCTGAAAAAATTTATTTATTTTTATGGGTATGTTATTGCTCTTTTACATAGTGCTTTTTAATATAAGGGGGAAAGTGGTTAAGAATAATATATTCACATTATTTAATTACTGACTTATTTCCTATTTCACTGAGTAAAATAAGAATAAATACTGGAAATCCTCTAAATAAATGCATTTAAACAATAAAAAAACCCCTTTGACTTTTTCTTGGCTTTAGTTAATGTGCCTTAACAATAACACCTTTGATTGATTCTTAATAAATAGAGAGCTCTGGTAACCTAAGCTGTGTGTGCTGCAGTCTCAGCGGTTTCCAGTTCAAAATCACTAACTGCTCCTTGGATAAAGGATGGGCAGTCTCTTCTCATGTGATTAAACTGCCTCTGAAACCCAATAGAGGGTCAGCCATGAGGTTCCTACATGATGGCAAATAGTAACAATAATAATTTAAATCCTATTAAGTCTTTGAAAAGATAGTAAGTAAGCAGAAATGTTGGGTGCTTCTTCACCTTTAGGTCAGAAATGAGGTAGATTCATTGACAGCATTGATACACTTTTTCCCCCATAGAGTTTTATGGTTTATACTTTACGTGTTTTACTATTTATTGTCTAACACTACTTTGATTCAGTATATAGAAATTCCCCAGATATTTTAACACAGATTAAATATTTGTTAGATTGAGTATTCTCAAAGAAAATAAGACAAATTTCTGTTTCTTAAAATGAAAAAGATATATTCTATAATTTCAAGGCCATCAACTGTGGCTTTGAAAAATTAACTACATGCTGTTAGAATTTAACATCATTTTTATTTCAGTCTCCTGAATTGTAAACCAAGGATTCATCAAAATATTTTCTTACAAAGGAAGAAAAATATATATTACCTTAAACAGTATTTTAATAAAATGTATCTTTATTTCAGTATCCTAAATAGTGAAGATGAAGAAATATTCAATAATGAAGAGTGTGAATATACATCTAAAAAGATGAAAAAGGACCATTTTAGTAATGATACAAATACTCAATGTAAGATAATTTTCATTACTAATTTTTTATATTTTAATATGTTGAATGTGTTGACATAATGAACTATTTTTAAATGTGATTTTATGAAATAAAAGATCAAGCATATAAATAAGATGACATTTTATTGAATACTAGGGAGCTCTGGTGGCCTAGTGTGTAGCTATTTTTCCAACCCAGAGGCAGGCAGTTCCAATCCACCCAGCTGGTCCAAGGGAGAAAAAAGGGGAATATCCTCCTGTTCAGTTTATAATCTGAAAACTAGCCAGAAAGTCAGCTATGAGTTGGTTCCAACTCAATGGCAATGAGTTTGAGTTTTGATATTGAGTACTGACCACTGATATAATCATCAGACACTAAAGAAATCAGCTGTTTTAGTAAAATCACTTAATTTGCCTGGTAAATATATAAAAATAGCAAAAATCACAAAACAAAAAGTATATATAAATGAATTCATAGCAGTCATGAATTTGATTAATGAAAGCCTTTGCGTTTCACTCCTAAGCAATGAGACCATTTTATGAAATGTCTTAGCATTAAATTTTAATCCAGGATTCATTTAAGATCAGCTCTGGGTTTTAAGAACTACTGGAGGCAGGAAGATAGATGAGCAGTCTCCTTCCATGCACCATACAACCACAGAAGCCCAACAGAGGGTCAGCTGTGAGTCAGTTAAAACTGCACAGAAATATTTTTGTGTTTTTTTAAGGAGCAAGAAGCCTAATTGCAAGTTGTTTTTGTAGCCTGTGTAAAAGGTATTTGCCCTGCATTATGACTCTAATACAGTCATGAACCATTAGGAAAATATTATGTTGGGATTCATATATGGCTGGTGGAGTTTAGTTAAGCACTATCTGAAAAGTTGTCTGAACCCATTAACCTCTCTGCCTGGGAAAGATGTGGCAATCTGCCTCTGTAGTGATTTCAGCCTTGGAAGCCATATTGAGAAGTTCTGTTCTCTTGTTTCACTATCAGCTGGAGTTGATTATCAGGTTTATTGAAAGAAATGTAGTCTTAGAGTTACATATAAACTATATCATTATATAATACATTTCTTGTATTGGAGATTTCAGTTAAATGAAAAACTTACATATATAGGCTAGCATTTGAATGAATAAAGGAAGATTATAATTCTTTTCCCAAGAACTTTTTAATAATTATATTTTAATAATATTTCTGTTCTGATATTATTATACAGGTTAACACTCATTCTTTTCTTACTGGTCAAGGATTGATGCTGTTTTAAATAGTTTTTCATATTAATATCTTTCAGTTCTCTTTATTCTAGAATTAGTAAACAAAGCAGCTCTGTTTATATTTAACTAAGTAAAAGTAACACTTGCCTATAAGTTAGTATAAGCAATTAGTGAATTTCCTTAAATTTTCATTTTTAAATGAGTCATCAAACTTTTAAAACAAAGTTAATTTTTATTCTAGGCTTTTATCGTGAAAAATGGATCTATGTCCATAAAGAAAGCACAAAAGAAGTAAGTATTCTGGAAGTATATATTGTTTTGCTTCTCATGAAATATATATATTTTCAGACTAATTTCTTTGAAATATCAAATGTACATGTATATCAAATGTTCACGTTCTAATATATTAAAGCAGTGATGTTCACAAATGTATATGTATTTGCATGTGCCTATGGAGAATATGGTTATAGAGGAGCTGGATCTATATACCTAGATCAAGAAGCTGTTGTCCATCCTACCAAAAGCAATCTACATGTTTAGCACAATCCCAATACAGACACCAAATTAATTTTTCAAGGCTATCAAAAGCCAGTTGTCAAGTTTATTGAGAGACACCCTGTAAAAACACTTCTAAAAACCAAAAAAGATTTTTTTAAAGTTACAGACTGAAACCATCTTAAAAGAAAAAAGGAAGTTGTCCAAACAGAGCAAGGCAACATGGCGTGGTTTAAAATCAGGACAGGTGTGCAACATCAGGGACGTTTTCTGTCTCTGTACTTAGTCTCCATCCTGAGCATGCAGTTTGTATTCCTCTATGATGAGGAATGTGGCATTAGGATCAGAGGAAGACTCATTAACAACTGTGTTATGCATATCACACAATATTGCTTGCTGAAAGTTGTTGTTTGATTGCCTTCAAGTAGAGCATGACTCATAACGACCCTATGAACAAAAGGCCTGAAGCCCCTCTACAACTATCAACATTTACCAAAGTTCATAGAGTTTCCAGAGGCATTTTTTAGGAAGTGGGTACCACTCCTGCTTCCATACTTATTATGTTTTTTTTTTATGTTATAACATACACACCTGTATGTTACTGTTTTTATGTGCCATTCAGTCACCTGTGATATATAGTGACTCTATGTATAGCAGCTCTGAACCCTTCTCTATCCTGAGCCATTCTCACTAATTCTAACACACCAACCGCCATCGCCCCAGTTACTGTATCCATCTTGCCCGGGGTCTCCCTCTTCTACACTGTCAGGCCACCCTTCCGAACATGATGTCCATCTCCAAGGACTGATCTCTCCTGGCCGTTTGCCCAAAGTAAGTGAAGTGGAGCTTCAAAATCCTAGCCTCCATGGAGAGACGTGGTTTCACCCTGTCTTAAGACAGACCTATTTCTTTTCTTGGCAATCCGTGGTATGTTCAAGACTCTTCTCCAGTACCACAACTTGGAGGCATCTATTCTTCTGTCATCCGTAGTCATTGCTCAGCTCTCAGAAGCATAACAAGTAATTGAGGCGACCATGGCCTGGATTAGGTGTACTTTTGTCTCTAGACTGACATAGTTTCTCTTCAGCACTCTGGAGAGTTCTTTGACAGCAGATTTTCCCAATCTAATTTGTCTTCTGATTTCCTGACTATTGGTTTTAATAGTGTTGCTTGTGGACCCAAGCAAGCTGTAATTGCTAACAACCTCAATCTCTTCTCCATCTGTTATGGTGCTACCAATTAGCCCAGTGGTGAAAATCTTTGTCTTCTTGATTTTGAGCTTCAATCCATATTGAAGACTACAGTCCTTGGCCTTTGTAGCAAGTGTTTCAGGTCATCTTCAGTTTCAGAAAACAAGATTGTGTCATCTGTATAGTATACGTTGTTAATGAGTCTTTCTTCAATCTTGATGCTGCACTCCTCCTCATAAAGCCCTACTTCCCAAATGATCTACATACAGATTGACAAGGTACTGGGACAGGATGCATCCCTGATACACTCCTTTCCTGATTTTGAACCATGCAGGGTTTCCTTGCTCTGTTCTGAGGACTGCTTCTTGGTCCAAGTATAGGTTTTCGTATACACACATTCAGGTATTCTGAGATTCCCATTTTCCTCAACGTTAGCCACAATATATTGTGATCCACACAGTCAAATGCCTTTGCATAGTCAATGAAACACAGATAGACATTTTTCTTGTACTCTCTGCTTTCTACCAAGATCCATCTGACATTGGCAATAATGTTTGTAGTGGTGTATGACCAATTCTAAACTCAGCCTGTATTTCTGGTAGTTCTGTGTAAATGTACTGAAAGTTAGGATATAAAACATTTGCTACAGAGATCAAAGACTACAGCCTTCAGTATAGATTACATCTCAACATCAAAGGGAAAAACGGTCCTTTCCAGGTAATAGGCGGCATGGTGGTAGATGGAGAAAGTTTTGAAACTGTCAGTTATTTCATCTTGCTTGAATCCACAGTCAGCACCCTGATACCAGGGTTCAGAAGATCACAAGATGTGTTGCTATGGGCAAGTGTGCTCTCAGGGACTGTTGCAGAATACTGAAGACCAGTGATGTCATTTTAAAGACTAAGGTGTGTCTGACTCAAGCCATGGTCTTTTTAGTTATTTGCTGTGCATCTAAGGGCTGGATAGTGAATAAGAATGACAGACTAAAAATGGATGCTTTTGTAGTGTGAAACACAATATATACAAACTTTGTAAGCAAACCAATAAAAATAATTTTTTAAAAAAGATTTATGCCTTTGAGTTGTTGTGTTGGAGAAGAATGATACATATTCCATGAACTGCTGAAAAAAGACAGGTATCTCTTGGAAAAGGTGCAGAGTGCTCTTTGGAGCCAAGGATAGTGCAGCTTCATCTCTCAGACTTCGGACATGTTGCTAAAAGAGGCTATTTCACAGGAGCCCATTGCTGCAGACATTGTGTCATTCCACTTCACAGGGGGACTTCCTCTCTTTCATTGACCCTCCACTTTTCCAAGCATGCTATTTGAGTCCATTCTGTTAATCAGTTTAATTCTCCGAGATCTAGTTCTGTGAGATGCCCAGGTGTCTCAAAAATGTGTTTGTTTAACATTAGTTAGTATTTTGCAGATTGAAAGAGAAAGAAACTAAAGTAGGAGTATCAGCTATGATTTGTATCAGACTGTATATGTATCCCTCTGTATATGTATCTTCCTCCATCAGTCTCCATGAAAAACTTTTGCACACAATGAACTTTAAGAAAAGCATATCTTGAGTATTTTCACTTAATTCTAATTAAATACCCTAGTATATCTTGAGTATATTCAATTTCTCAGCAAATTAGGGCTGTTTTGGGGATTTAGACTCCAAACGGAATTAGGCTTTATATCGCATTTGACATTGGAATGTTATTTCTCTGACTACTTTTACTAGACTCTTTTATTTTTTCTGCTGAGAGGTACTCTGCTGCCTTAAGTTTTCTATTATTATTTTCTAGTTTATTCCTACAACTCCAAAATGAAATCTGTGTTTCAAATCCAGAGTATAAAATTTAAAAAGACTCAAACATAATGCATGTCTGTATAAACTAGTATACACTATGAATGTTTAAAAACGTATAAAATGGAATAGTATTAGTGGTTTAGGTACTGATGAGGAAAGCACTGAACTTTTCTTGTACTTTTTGACTTTTGGATTGTGTATCTAAATCAACTTATTCATTTTATGAGGTTTGTACTCTGCAGCATAGAAGTTAAAACAAACCAAAAGTTCCATTCTCTTAATTTTCTCCATGTGAACATTTTTTTTCAGTGTGTAAGATATATTATTTCTTAGTACACATGTTCCTTTCAACTCCTTAATCCTTTGTGATCATATTTCTAACACTGAAGTAACAAATTATTGAATGTAAGTTAATAAGTTTCAGCATACGTATTTATACCCAATGAATCTTCAGAAAAGCTAGAGAAGTGATTTGTATATTTAGTTCTATAGCCTAAAATACATCCACATTTTGCCTGATCTTAAACTTAATTTTTTATTTGACTTTCAGCTTCTCTCCAACAAAAGAATTAGATATTTAATAAATATATCTCCAGTGTCATTACATAGGCATAAGTATAAAAAAAGGTTAATTAAAAATATCATGATTATATATAAATTACTTAGACTTCACATTGTTATTATTATTATTATTATTATTATTATTATTTTCATATTGTTTTCATCTGAACCTAAAATAAATTTTCAGAATAAAATACATTTCCTAAATTTAAAAAAAATTAAATCTAACACAAATTAATTTACTCAATTAAAAGCCCAGTTGCCTTGGACTCAATTCTGGCTTGCAACAGTGTCATAAGACAAAGTGAAATGCACCATCAAGTTTCCAAGGCTGTAATCTTTACACTGTTATAATTGTAAGCTGCTACTCTTCCCCAGAGTAGCTGGTGAATTTGAACTGCCACCCTTTCCATTATTAGGAGAACAGTTAACAACTTTGCCACCATGGCACCTTCAACTGCCTGTTATTTTTACTCATTTTAGTTTTTTTATGTTTGTTTTTACAGAGACATGGTTATTGTACCTTGGGAGAAGCTTTTAATCGCTTAGACTTCTCAAGTGCAATTCAGGATATCCGAAGATTCAATTATGTGGTTAAAGTAGGTATTTTATTTCCAAAGCTACTTTAATTTTTTAAATAATTGTCATTTGAAGATTAGAAGTGTAAAATATTTCAAATGCTTTTGGTAATTGTGTAGAATTATGCTTGTTTTATGTAGGGGGGAAAATGAAGAGCTGACTTCAGGATAATTTCTCTAATCTTGGTGGATTATAGGTTGAAGGACTTTTAGCAGAAGTGAAGTCCTCATTTGTTTTTTGTATGATCACATGTGACTGCCTAATGGGGCTTCTGTATGTTTTCTTTTAGTTTGTCTTTTGCTACGAAATAGTCTCTTGTGTAGATTGCCCCAGATTTTATTGTGATTTGGAATATCTCACATATACTATACTTGTTAATGAAGAGGCAAATATTTTTGCATGGGAACTTTGTGACTTCATAATTTGAAATGCTTTTCTACTTCATGTTTCTCACAAAAAAATAAAATAAAATAAGCTTGTTTAATGGAAGAATTAGTTAATAGAAGAAAAATTAAACAAAATAGGACTTCACAAAAACTTTTGCATTTATATTTTCAGAAGAGATTTATACATTAGGTTATTCACAAAGAATCTTAAATATGTACTCCATTTATTGATTGTTTTCTTTGTCTAAAAAGTATTATATGGTTTATTCACTGCTCCAGATAAATCATGGTTTATGAAGCTGCTTTTTAATGGTGTTGTGAAGTAGTGAAAAAAATAATATTTTAATGACTTAAATATTTTAAAAATGTTACAGGAAGGACTGATAAAATGAAGACTTAGACAACTTCAAATCTAAATACATGATGTTCAATTAATTTGACTTAGTGATCCTATGAGACTAAGTAGAAGAACAGTTTCATAGAACTTCCAAGGCCGTAATCTTTACAAAAGCGTATTGCTCTGTGTTTCTTCCCGAGAGGGACTGGTAGGTTCTGATCACTAGTTGTTTCGTTAATAGCCAAGCACTTAACCAGTATTTCACCAGGGTTCCTTATGTTAAGCTGAAGATCATTTTATTGGTTTAGTTTGCTTTCATTCAAAATTTACTGGGACATCTAGAAAAACTTAGTGTCTACTATTTCCTTTTGTGCTACATATTTCAGTGAAGCCTAGTCACCATTTGTACTTTTTTTATACTGGATCTGTCCATTTTGTTTGGAGCTTTTATCTATAGCTATTTGTAGCTGGCTAATTACTCCTTTAGTTCACTCCTGCAGAAGATTAAACTAAGGTTTAACTCAGTCTTCTTGAAATTTTCTCATTTCTAATTTGGAATTAGCCTGGGGGGGGGCATGTATATTTAAAAAAAAAGGTTTATTTACAGTAGTTTTCCTCAAAGCTGTTTTATACTTGATAACATGGTTTTTTTTTCCCCCTTGACTATCCAATTCCATTAAAAATCTAACTGTTAAAGTACATGAAGGTTTAGATTATTTGGAGAAATGAGATGAAAAAAACTGGATACTGATGATTTAGTGTTGAACTTTCCACTTAATTCTTATTTTTCCTATGGTCTTTACTTGGTGATCTAAGGAGATAGATAAGAATATTCTCTAATTTGAATGAGGCATGTAGTAATATAAGAATTTTAGCATTTAAATCCACCTTTGTGATTTTTACTGTATGTTTTCATTCCTTTTATCATAACAGTATAGTAATAGCTTTTCTTCAAATAGATGTTTAAAAAACAAAACTGCTACCTACTTTACCCTAAACCGTATTTATGGAACTAAATTTCCTTTGTTAGGTATTTTTTCCAATGGGCATAAAATACATAGCTGTACAAAATTAAATGGTATTGTATATCCCTATACCAGTTAACATTAACTTGTAACATTTTGAGAAACAGTCATTTCCTCTGAGGACCTCCCAGAGTGGAATATGAGGGAATTAGATAATTTAGGAAGCATGTTCAGAGAGAACAGCTTTTACCAAAAGTCTTATATTTTCATAGAACTTGTCTACTACATATTTATAAGGTCTTTCACATTGATTATTTTCATCTGGTTACCAATTGCTTCTGCCACAGTTGAGCTCTTCAATTCCCTAAAGAGAATCCCCTGCCATTGTACCCCTCATGTTAGTTTTCTAAACCTACCATAAAAATGTATTACAGTAAATACTGATGGCTTTAAAGACTATAATTTTTCCCCCTCATAGTTCTAGAGGCTCAAAGTACAAATTCAGGCCATCCACTAGATACTCTGGAAAGAAATTTGTTGCCCATCCTTTAAATATCTGTCTTGTGCCGTCACCATACTCCCTGACATGCTCAAGCCTGCTGTTGCATCACTGTGTCATTTCATCTAGTTGAGGGTCAACCTGTCTTTTGCTAACCTTTCCTAGCATTATGTCTAAGATTTTATCTTTCAATATGACTTTCCTAGCCAATGAATTTTATTTTGACCATAGGGATGGGTGAGAATATGTGAATGTTACATATTAACATGTTAGCTTCTTCACAAGGGGATTGGCTAGCCTCGCCATGAAATTAAGCAGCTCCAGGAGCCAAATCAGTTTTTCCCCTCCAGTAAAGAAGAAAAAGGAAGATAATGAAATTCTTGCTTTAGCTACAACCATGCAGCAGCCATGGTTGAATCAGAGAATAACATAAAGTGGAGCTACCTGTGGACTGCTACCCACCACAGACAGAACCAGAGCTAAGTGAAGAGCTTTTGCCCGAGGTTCTTGGGCAACTGGGAGGATGGGACATCAATATTGGCAGGATTGGGAACACTGGCCTAAAGCCCAAAGGCCCAAGGCTGAGGTGCCTGCTAGCACATGTTGTAAGTTGTCCTGATTATTAATGACTGTATTCTGCTGCTACCTGGATTAAGACCTTTGACTTCCCTAACATGGTTGTATGGTCTGCAAACTGTCACATCAGGTTTTGGATCCAGTAAAGCAGAAACATTAGTGTTGAGATTAGTAGAAAGAGGTACAGGAGGATGGGAGAACTGTGTGACCTCATAGGATTTGGTTTTGTGTTGTTGATGCTGTTGATGGGGACACTTTCCCTTTGTGAAGTTGGCAAAGGTGAGATATGGCCATTCCCATGTGGCCTTTGCTCTTTTAACAATGTCTTTTGCAAGAACACACTCCTAAAAACATGCCCAAAATATGTGATAGCAATTTTCAGCCTTTGAGGAGCAACTTGATCAAACTTTAGCAAACAGCTGTCTTACTATCCTCTTGATTGTCTTTGGATCATGGCTTATTAATTTTACAACAGTTTTTCAAATTTTCAAATTCTGGTTTCCCTTTGCTGAGTTCTCTATTGACCTCCTTTCTCCCATATTTTGCTATAGATCAAGGAAAAACTAAACTTCACCGTGAAGATTCTTTTAGAAATCTCCTCCAATAGATATCTCAGTTCAATATTTAGAAGATGTGTTTTGCACAAAACACTCCAAAATAATCTAATCAGGTTCTTTGGCCTCTTTAAACAAGGGCTATCTTTCCTCTAGCATCTAATAATTTGTTCATCATTCCCTTTTAAGGCTTTACCAGAGGATATATAATGTCTATAATGTCAGACTTTCTAGCAGCATTCAGTGATTATGGACACTTTCTAATTTCTTCTGAGACAGCATAAGAGTTACTTTTAATGTTCATAATTCTCTCAGTACTCTCTTATCAAGTGCCTCAAAAGCCAATTTCAAAACCACTTCCATATTTTTAGGTTACTGTTAAAGGACTCCTCTGATACTGTGTCATTGTTTTCTAGCAAAATACCACAGAATTAATAGCTTTAAAGAATAAAATTTTCTACTATTTTGGAGCTGTGGTAGACTAGTGTCAAGAAGCTGTGCTTCTATGACTATTTGTCAATGGTAACGAGAGAAGAAGTTCTTGCTGTACTGAAGGCATTGGCAAAAAAATAAGGTCCCAGGAATTTATGGAGCACCAATTGAAGTGTCTTAATGAACAGATGCAGCCCTGGATGTGTTCACTAGCCAATGCCATGAAGTTTGGAAGACTACTATTTGGACATTTGTTCCTTTTTTTAAAAAGGTGACCCGACAGACTGTAAGAATTATTGAACAGTATTATAAATGTCATAAGCAAGTAAAATTTTGGTGACAATTAAAAAAAAAAGAAGAAGCTGTGCTGCAGCTCTAAAAGCACGCAGTTGGTATCCACCAAACTGCTCCAGGGGAGGAGGATGGGCATTCTCTTCCAGTGAAATTAAGGCCCTGTGAAAACCCGCCTGAAGGTCAATTATGGGTCAATTCCAGATCACCAGTACACAACAACTCCTTTGTAAACAGGAAGGATTATCAATTGGTTATCAGTAGGACCATGCTTTTTCTGTTGGCCCTATGGACACAGATCCTTCCATCTAGTAGCACTGGTTTGTTTTGTTTTGTGGGTTTTTTTTTGGTATATTAGACTTGTAGAGGGGTCACCACATGATTTCATTATGCTATGTATGATTAACTTGCTTTGCCTATTTTCCTCTTTCAAGGACAATTGCAGAAGGACTACAATGGGAATAAAACTCATTGAAGGAGGAAATTCTGGTGACTTAATAAGGAGTTCAACCCAGAGCCTTGTGGTTTGAATTTACCAGCTGGTCCTCAGGAGAAAAATAGGAATTCTCCTCCATAATGTCAAGGATTTACTTTTCCAAATGACTTTTCTATTTCTCAGTATCCTGAGATTCCACCCTATTAAAGATCAGCTGGCCAACTGACAGGAAGATATCTATATTTGTTCCTATTCCAAAGAAATGTGACCCAACTGAGTGCGGAAACTACTGAACGGTATCATTGATTTCACATGCAAGCAAGATTCTACTGAAGATTATCCAAAAATGACTGGAAGAGCACATCAGCAAAGAACTACCGGAAGTCCAGGCTGGGTTTAGAAGAGGTCGTGGTACTAGGGATATTGTAGCTGATTTTAGATGGATTGTAGCTGAAAGCACGGAATACCAAAAGAATGTCTATCTGTGTTTCATTGATTATGCAAAGGCATTTGACTGTGTGGATCATAACAAACTGTGGCTGAC